TTTGAGGTGATAGCATGCATCAGATGAAGTGTGCATTCTGAACCATTTTTTAGGATATGGACTAATATTTTCCTTTAGTTATTTCTAGATGGTTGGATCCATGCCCGCCTTTTTGGAATTATGTGTACACTGTAATTGGTGAGAAAACATACACATGGTTAGGCGAGTCAAGGAGGGTTCTGAGCATTTCTATTGGGAGCACCAAATAAGAAAATGCTTTTGGAGCAACTAATCTAAAGCCTTCTTCTCCTGTGATTGTGGATGAACTAAGGCATTTCAAAGCAAGTGGTAGAGATATGTATGCCCAAACCAGGTGTTTAATTTATTTCTTTCTACTCTTTTTGATATATAGACCTGATATATGTTATTTGTTGATTCTGTGAGTATACCACTTGTTTATTATGTATAATTATCTAATTCAATTTACTATTTTTATGGTGAAGACTTTGTGACTTGTCATTGAATACTATGATATCTTCTTCTTGTTCTCCTTGACCCAAAATAGGACATACTTTGTTCCTACTGACGCAAGGGGCATAGGGTCTAAATGGATATATCTAAAATGTGGTCACTTAGAGATTTCTCAAACCTTTTGTGACTATGGATGATAATGATGCCTAGCGTGCAGCTGTATGCTGATTCTGTTAGAACCTTGCTTCTGGTTGCTAATTTGTTGGTTGATGTGCTGTTGAAGGAGAAGTTCTTGACATGTTGTCATGTTTTGAAGGATTAAAGCCATTTAGTGGTGGTGTAAATTGGGATTTTAACCCTTTGTTTCTTGTAATTCTTTAATTCATTCAATACAATTTCTTCTTTCTTAAAAAAGGGGGGGGGGGTTCCCAAACCTTTAATTCTCATTTGCTGAAGATGTAACCTCTATGATTAGGTGTAGAACCACAAAGTTGGAAGAACTCCAGCATAAATTGAACTAATATGACGAAGTCGTAAACTCTTAAGAAATAGCTGCTGATTGAGGTACTAACAAAATGAACTCTCCAAACCTTATATCTGATTAGCTTGCATCAATAGCAAGAACGCTTGTTTGTATTTGATATACGGTTGGAGTTTGATCTCAATTGACATTCTTGAAACTTTTGTTATAGAGTTTTTTGTAATTAAGTAGCTTTTCATGTTATATATTCTGAAACTTGTTCCTTCCACTACATGTGTCACGCCTGGTTAATGGGATTAGTACTGTTTGAATGTTTCCTAAAAAATAAAATTAATGTTTCTTATTTTACTTCCATCATAATGTGCAACTTGAAAGTATATAATGTATATGACCTAAACTTTAAATTGGATTGTCAAAAAGGTCATTTATTGAAATTAGAAAATGTCTTTTTCCACATGAAAATTAAAAAATTAAAAAAACTCATTTGCATGTTCTCATCATAAAGAAAGAATTTTAATAAATCATCTCAAGTTATATGACCAACACACTAAACTATCACATTATCATTGTACATTCTAATGCTTAATATCATTGCTCCATCTTGCCCAAGCATGCTTATCATACTCTTGGTTGATAAGAGAGTCATTTACTTTAGGTCCATACCATTTCTTAGAATGACTTAGTAGTACTTTTGTTTTTCCATATTATTCTAGGTTAGTGCTTTATTATTATAAGACAACATATGTTGTCATGTTGGTGGTGTTGTTGTCTGAATACCTTAGATTTTGATGAGGCACTTTCATTGAAATCACTTTTTTCTTTTAAAATTTAGAGGTAATAAAGGAGTCAATTGTGCTAAAACATGCTAAAAATATATAAGGTATATTCAGATTTTAATTGACTGAGTAACAACATAGGACTAATAGAGGGTAGAATAGTACGACCCCAACTTCAGCAAATATATATATATATATATATATATATATAGCACTAAAATGAGCTTTCAAGAATTTATAACGACCCTTGTGTTGAGAGAAAGTTCAATCAACATGAAACTACAATCAAGAAAGGAGTATTTTTTTTTTAAATCAAATTTAGAATTAATTCAATTGGACTAGATTGGTTGAATTTTTCTAATCATAGAGGCAACTGTTGATTTGTGAGTTGATATATTGTGAAGAGGTAGAAATGAACCCATGTAATTTAGGTAATTCTAAAAGATAATTTCTATTTGTGAAAATCTAGAATGTTGGCAATTTTTTTTTTTTGCTTGATCATGTTTTCCCTTACTATTCCTTCATTCTTCTTAGAGAAAGCTGATATATGGTTCTCAAGTTTCATTTAGCTCTATTTTGTCTTAATTGATAAAGGTTGATTTATTTGCAACAATTTTCTTTCATCTCTATTATGGGATGGTTCTTGTGTAAAGCTTAATAATTTTTTACGTTATATTATTTATGTAATTTCTTGATTTTCGAGATTTTTTGTGTTTTGAGTGCTTATTTTGTGTTTTTCTGAAAATTATTTTCTTAACACTTATCAGCTTATTTAGCTCCCTTATTGTGTTTCTTCTATTTTTTGAATGGTAAAATTTTGTTTGACACCAAACCATGAATACATAAACATACACACAGAGGCCATATGGGTTTGAATATTTCTAAAAATAATGTTTTGTTTTGACAAAAATCAATTTTTAGACCTATCTTCCAATTGTGGTTTTTTTTTGTTTTCTAATGGTACTATTTTGTTTGATAAATACCATCTTATCATGCGAAAATGAGGATCTTCATAACTTCCTAAATGCTTGGAAAGAGGCATGTTGGGTTTAGTGATGAACATCTTGTTCCTTCAAATGCTTTCATCTCATTTTTTTGGTATGGGGATTATACTTTGTTATGATACATTTTGTATGTTAATTTCTGTAATTGTCATATGCTATCTCTTTGTTACAATAGGCCCAAAGGCAATAATCGCAGTTAAGGACATTCGACAATTGGTTTGTTAGAATAAACCATAATTCGCACAAGATTAGAAGAAGTGCAATCACATATGATGTTCCTTTGTAATTCATAATGTGCTAAGCATTTTCAAACCTTAATTTAATTTGTTCTGTTGCCGCATGTTATCTTTGAGACTTTAGGTTTTTTATTTTTTTACTTCTTTCACTCTTGTGTGTACAACTCTAAATGAACCCTTTGAAGCATTATTTTGGTTGATGGACACTTATTACATTTACTGCTTCCTTTATTGCAAGCTTAGTCTATGATTAGATAATATTTTGTTAAAAAGCATATTGACATTGTTCCATTTTTCTGACAAAAAAAAAATGTTTCATTTTAGCATTCAGATGATATAAATTATTAAGCTTATCGGGACATTGAGTTTTGCTTAGCATATATTTAGTCTATTCTACGGGATGTTTTATAGGTCATGTGCCTATTTTAAAACTAAATGTTGCAATAGGTAACCTCTATCTCAAGGCAATTATGTGTCTTAAATTTAATATTTATTTTATTTTTTAATGTTTCCATATATCCGATACACTGGTCATATTTTGATGACATTACAAACATAATTGGCTTTATTGATCTAACCTTTAGTCCTTTCTCATCCAAGTAGCCAATTCAAGTGATGTATGAATTTGTTTTTTCTTTGATTATTCTACATTGTATGTTAATTTATTAACCAGATATGTATAAACTTAAGCCTCATCTTTTTACAATGGTCCACGTGCAATGCACGTGTGCACCAAATAGTTATTATAAAATGTCAACAAAAGTGAAAAAATTTTGACTGACTAAAATACCCCTAATAGAATAACTAATTCTTATACTATCTTTTGTATAATTAATAAAAATTTTAAATCTTGTAATTATTGTTGTAATAAAAATATTATGTAGATCTATATTTATATTTATCTATATCTATATTATTTATAAAGAAGTTTACTTGAAAAAAAATTAATTTTCAATTTTAACCTTAGTTGATGCTACAAAGCTCATTGTATCCATGATAAATTCCTACTTTAACTGATTTATTACTTGACCGTGCCTATTCCCATCAGTTTTAAAATGCAATTAGGATCTTAAATAAATCAACTGAAAAGACAGTACTCTTAAATTTTATCTTGAAAATTCCATTGTCAATTAATGAACATGATGTTTATGGACCTCTTGGAGTTTCGTCACTCCAAGAGAGACGGCTTATACATGTTTCGCTTGTGGCATACTTCGGAGAATTCAAAAAGATAAAATGTATTTTTGTTGTGTACTGAAGAGTCTATGGGAAAGTGTCTATTTATTTTCTTAGTCTTCTTAAGGCTTCACCCTCACGATCTGGACGAACCCAAGCCAAAGGTTCTTCTTATTTGTTGTCGTTGCTGACCAAAAACTGTTGTCATCATTGATTGTTTTGTATGTTATCTTACTGCTATTTGTCGCTAGCCTTGTTTCTAGAATCCCATTTGTTTTGATGCTTTAGTCTATATTGGCAAGCTTGTTCAGAAATCTTCTCTTAAAATTGACCATTATTGATTTTATACCAAGTGTTAGCATTTCTGTGATCTTTGAGGATGTACTATTCCCTTGGATAACAATGAATGTTTTTTGTGAGTGGTATGTTATTTAGTAACATGTTTATATTTATCTTTTTTAAACTACATTTTAAAAAACATTTATTGAAAACTATTATTAGTTTAGTTAAATTCATTTGCATAAAGGAGCATGCTTCAGTAGGCACAGTGGTGCCCCTAATTTGTATTTTAGGGTAAGTTCAATTTTAGATAATTGTGGGCAAGTGATTATAATTCTAGTATTATCATGTGTCTGTAGTTTTTCACTTGACTTTCTTATTGGTGCAGATTCATCATTAGTGGATGGTTTAGACTTCAAAATATGTTTAATCATGAGTCATAGATGGCGCCCAACACCTCTAATATGAATATATGATTTTGAACTTATGCATATGTCGGCTATTTGAAAGCTCAAACTCGAGAATAGTGTGTCTAACAATATTGGTCCATGCATTAGTGTTCCTATATGCCATGTTGCTATCTTAATTTGCATCATAGCTAAACATGCAATTTTCGTATTAACATGCACCATCAATCATGTACCAGAGGTGGTCGAGAAGTTCACTAATCATGAACTTCCTAATCATTTTGAATTGGTTTCAAATAAAAAGTCAAATTATTCATCTTTAGGTCAAAATTTTGTTTCATTGTTGAAATTTGAAACATTGTTAGTCAATTTTTACGGTTTTTGTTTGTCCAGCATTATTAATCAAACTTAAAATTTTAACATCATATGTGATATCAATGCCTATTGCCTTTCGGTCAACATAAATAATTTAGGTTGTGTTTGATACAGTATTATCAGAACAGGACCGGATCAGTCGGTCTGACCGATTCAACTGTGAACCAGGATCTTAGTCAGTCCAATTGACTAATTAAACCACATAAGGAAGGGAACCAGATAAAAACAGCCAAACCGGCTGATTTTTGGAGAAAATCGGAACCGGACGATTTTTTAAAACCAGCCGGTTTAAAGTCCATTAATCTACTTTTTTCTTATTTGGGTTTGGGCATTTTGATTTTTCCCTAAATAGGCTAAATGACAGAAGGGAAAAGGTAGAGAAGGAGAAGAGAGGGAGGCCGTTCAGACTCAGGCGACACATAAAGGAATCAGTGCTCTTCCTCTCACCAGCTAAAGGGAGACAGCGATCAGTGCTCACTGCTCAGGCGTCACTTAAGCGACCATCGATCGAGGCTGTTAAGACTTTTGTTTCAGGCGGCAGTCACTGCTCAGGCGGCACTCAAGCTGTTCAGACTCAGGCGGCACTCAGACTTATGCTCGATGCAACAGTGCTCTTCTGATTATTTTTTTTTTTTTAAAAAAAAAAAAGCTCTTCTTATCAGTGATGCAGCGACCTTCTGTGTATTATTTGTTGCATTATAGTTTTCAATTATTTGGTGGATGACCTTCTGATGTTGGATGACCTTCTGTTAGATGATGTTGTTTGTTTAATTATTTAGTGTTTATTTTGCACATTGCTATTTGATTTTGATGACTGTCTTTTGTTTGATTTTGATATTTGTCACATATGTATCTTCTTTTACTTCGTAAATTTTATGGTAAATTGTATGTATTTTAAATATATATTTTTATATTTTTTAGCTAAATTATTATGTTTTATAATTATTATATATAATTTTTTATTTTTTTATTATATGACCGGTCCGACCAGTTGACTCACGGTTGAATCAGTGAACCATTGACTCAGTCCCCTTACCGGTTTGATGACCGGTCCGGTCCTGATAACATTGACCGGTCCGGTTTTGACTTGACGTTTGGGTTTTATGGTCATGGAAAAAACCAAGAGTATATGGTAACTACAAAAAATCTTTGAAAACTTTCTGTCTTTTTTACTAGGTTTCAAGGATTGTTGTAAAAAAATTTCTTACTTGATGTATTTGTTTAACATGAAAGTGCCCCCTCTATATCGCTGAGATCGATTCTTAGGCAATCACCTTTGCCACTATTTATATGTGTGGGGGCTTGCAATTCTCCCAAAAAAATAAAAAGAGCTTATGGGTTTGCCTTTGTATGTTGATAGTCTTCACCATAAATTTTTGTGCTCAAGCAAAATGTTGTAAGAACTTCTTTAGTTTTTTTGGCTATTTGATTGAATGTTAGTTGGACAATTACTTTTAACTTCAACTCAACCTTATTTTTTTTCCTCTCTTTTGTATCTTGGAAAAAATATTTCAAGAAGAAGATGCAAAAACATTGAACAACAAGTAGAAGTAAGATTATGTGATCTTCTTTTCAAGTGAGCAAGTCTTGTATTTGACATAACCGCGTGTTCGATAGTCTATCTCTTCATTGGATGTATATTTACAATGTCAAATATAATTAGATTTTACAAAAGAATGATCAATAGACACTATTTTATTGAGTGTAATCCCACTATTTTCATTTAATGTTGGTCAAATTAAGGTGTTAGAATTACAATAATTTATCTTATAGTTTCAGTGGATTTTTGTGTCATGAATTTTACATTAAACACTGAAAAAATTGATAGTTATTGGTTTGTGTACCGTTAAAAAATATTATTTATTTTAAGTTAAGCAAATAGAGATTAAAACTTTTCCAACTTGAGTCCCCCCCCCCCCCCCCCCCGAAACAAAAAAAATTTAAAATCTCTATTTTTTGGGGTAAATAAAATCACAATCTTATTGAACTTACTTTGGCTATTTGTATTGTCAGGGATACTGTATCTAATATTGGTGCTAAACAAAATATTCTAATGAAATTGTCCACGTGCAAAACACGTGTACACCAACTAATTATTATATAAATCTTTAAATGTCTTGATTCTTCATATTCATTCTTAAATAAAAATTGTATATATTTATTGTCATAAAAAGTGAGTGCACCGATTAGTTTGAGCTAAAGTTGTGTATATTTATTGCATAAAAAGTGGGTGCACCAGTAGCAATGAAAATGAAAAGTTTTCTTTTGGTACATTTATTCAAGTTTAATACACTACGGACTATATATTCAATGTGCATTGAATATATCATATGCTAAAATTTTAAAATGGACATTTCATCTTTCCATATTCAAGCTATACACAAAACCATATACATTTAAACGCTATAGATACCTATATTAAGTATTCAAGCTGCAAATATTAGTTGGAACTTCAATCGTTTCATATTTTCACCTCTTTGTCTGATTGATTCTCTTTTAAAAATCTTTTTGGTCTAATATTTAGTACAATCATGTGTGGCAACAGTGGTGGTGGTGATGTGTGGGTGGTGGTGGACGACAGTGATGGTGGTTGGTAGTGGTGGTGGTGGAACGACGACTGAGGTGTTTGGCGATGATGGGTGCTTCTAGGCAACAGTGTGATGGGTGGTGGCGAATGGTGGCACTAGTAAGCATGGTGGAGGTAGGTGATAGTGGGTGGCTGTAGTGGTGGACAATGACAGGTTGTGGTGGTAGGTGTGGTGGGATAGGTGACAGTGGTTGGTGGCTGGTTGCGATGGATTGTGGTGGGTGCTGACAGTGGGTGATGGTGATAGTGAGATGATGGTGGTAATGATAATAAATATAAGAATAAGATGACGATAGTAGTGGGTGATGATCATGGACGACGATGATAGTAATCGATAGTGGGTGACGATGGTGGTGGTGGAGCAGTGAGGGTGGGTTGGGGTGGGGGTAGAGGTGGGGGCAGTGGTGATGGTGGTGATAGTTGTGATGGTCATGGGTGTGGTGGTGGGATGGTGGGGGTGGTAGAGGTAATGGTGGAACAGTAGTGGTGGTAGTAAAATGCAACAACGGTGATGATGATGGTAGGGTGCGTCAACGGTGATGGTGGGGCGGTGGAAATGATGGTGGTGGTGGGATGGTGATGATGGTGGGGGGACAATGCAAGTGGTGGTATAGTGGTGGCAGCGGCGGTGGTGATGGGTGGTGGGTATGGTAGGGTGGCGATAGTGGGGGGATGGGGGTGGTGCTGGTAGTGGCAGTGGTGGTGGTGATAGAGGTAGTAATGAGCGATTTCAAACACTATTTTTTTAAAGTACTTATGAGAAATAATTCATATAAGTACTTTTTAAAAATCACTTCAAACACACTCTTAGGGACCTATTTTTAATATTAAATTTGGTGTATTAATATTAGCCATTATATTAACTTTAAAGTAAAATTTAAAAAATATCAACCACGAATAACAAAAGTTATTTTGTTTGTCTTTTGAGATTTGAATTTTTATTGTACTTTATTATATAAATGTTTGCAATTTCATTATCAATTTAGACGACGAAGTAATAATAAGGGTAAAACGCAACAAAATTTCTGAATAAGGAGACAACGTGAATAAAATTTAAACCTAGATTATAAACAGTGAGATTTTTAAAAAATTAGAGGTAGCAAATAGAATTGATTCCAGCTGATCACGAATGAGTTTCTATCAGATTTGATCCCAAATAACTTTTTTATTTGTTAATAAGTTTGTAGATTATAAGATATTTATTTTGTAGATTA